TAACGCTAACAGTAGAAAGCTAAAGTAACAGTAGCGTTGTAACATGCGAAATTATTTACGTTTTTCCCTACCTATTTTTCATCATTCAACAATTATCTCTAGTGTGAGCAAAGGCTTGAATGTTTAGGCCTGTATAGACTTCTGGACAGATCTGAGATTTAAGAAAACATATTTTGTGTTCTAATATAGTGTAACCATCAAAGCGCCTCAGAGTGAATAAGCGTGAAAGACGGGGACTTTTCTAAATGCAATTAAGTGATGTTATCTTTTGCTCTTCCCATCCATCAGTCATCCATTCTTCCCACAGAAAGACAGAGGGATGTGGGAGAAGAATGATTGGTCAGTTTACAGTGGCCAGCACTTAGCAAAGGGTCAATCTGGGATGGTGAGGGAGAGAGGGAGAAAAGAAAAGAGGAGGAATGGAATGAGGAGGCAGGGTGGGAGCAAAGCAGTGAGCAGTGTCAGATTACATCATTAGTTTGTTGAGTTTGAAGAGTGAGTGATTCACTTCCTTTATGTGTGGTCATGGGTGTGCATTTAATGTCAATGTGTAGAATTGGCTTCTATGTCACATTTTGGTTTTTGGTTATCATTGCACAGTGCAGGGAGCTTTTGATAAGAGTGTCAATTAGCTCAGCTTTATTGGCATGAATGTATAACAACAGTATTGCCAAAGCTACATATAAATTACATAAGAATAATTAATTTCATACATTTCATTAAATAAGTAAATAAAACAGTTAAAGTTGTGTTTCTGTGTGTGTCAATAAAAAATAAAAAAGTAATAACAAAAAATACATAATGTTTCCAGATTCCATAAAATAAATATTAAAAATAAAAGTAAATAAATGAAACAGTAACATATGTGTGTTATTATAATAATATATTAAAAATTTAAATAAAATAAAATAAGTGAAACAGTAACATGTGTGTGTAATTATAATAATATATAAAAATTTAAATAAAATAAGTGAAACAGTAACGTGTGTGTTATTAATAATATATTACAAATTTAAATAAAATAAAATAAGTGAAACAGTTACGTGTGTGTTATTATAATAATATATTAAAAATTTAAATAAAATAAATGGATAAAACCGTAAGTGTGTGTGTGTGTGTGTATTAATAGACAAAAAATAATTATTATTGATTAATTTAAAAAAAGATCTGTATCAAATGTGAAATTTAAAAACAAAACAATTAATAAAATATCAGACAATCAGTCTTTCATATGCAAAGGCACAGAGGAATGTGTGACTCTAGACCTTCCATTTACTTGGGAACGTTTTCTTTAGTAGCCTAATCCTAATATCATTCTAATCCAGTTTAATGACACTTATGTTAAACAGATCCAGAGATTTTGGATCCAGCGGCACCAGTAGGTCAAAAGGTACACTTATCCAGTGCAATAGATCAGTATCTGCTGGATAGATTGGCACAGGTACATTCATTCATGGTTCCCAGATAAATCTTAATAACTTCATCACCTGACTTTTCATCTAGTGCCACCATCAAGTTTTTTTTTTTCTTCAATTTGTCCAATACTTTGGTTTATGACTTAATACCTTCAAAACTACAGCATTACCACTAGCCTCAGCTGTACTTTGTGTTAATCGCAAACATAGTATACATTACACCTGCTAAACACCGCCATGGTAGCGTTGTCATTGTCACCCCAGATTGTAGTATGTAATGTCGAGGCAGATGGCCGCCCACCCTGAGCCATGGTTCTGCTTCTGTGAAGTGTGTCTCCTGAGTGGGGGGCTTAATTCTGGATTGAATGTTCTCACATTAATTTCAATGCTGCAGCAGAGAAATGCATCACCAAACTACCATCCATCAGACGCTAAAATTTTAAGTTGTTGAGGAGGTTAATGTCTATGGCTAATGTAACTCTTCCCATAACAGTCATGTTATGTATGAATAAAGCTATAACAAACATATACTGTATGTAACACCCACTTATGTTAGAATGAAAAAGCCATTACTTTAATAGATAGATGAAGCAATGTTACGTTATCCAGGTTTATGAAGGGCTTGACATTGCAGCATTTCCTCTACTATGCAGCCTGACACAGTGTCTTGATTGCTACGTGTAAAAGCTGCACACTGAAAAAGCAACTCGTCTAGTAAATTTTATTGGGTTTTTTGCAAGGGTGATGCATTCTCAACACAATCCCTAAAGGGACAAGATTTTTCAGTCTAAGGTGGGTATACAAAGGCTCTGCAGAATGTTTCTGGCCTTTTACATTTTACAGTGATATTCTTATCTTGATGTCACAAAATTCACAATAATATCTCCACTTATGAAGCCATCCAGCCTCACCTCCCAATATGTATGTTCCAAACAATTCAAGCTAAATAAATACATGAATGGTCTTGGCCTTTGAGCTGGCCGTTTCAAACTTGCTCTGCTATCTGATGGTCTATTTGCATTTTATGTGTAGCTTCATGTCTGTCGTGCAATTCGATGAGAAAGAACGAAAGAAACAGAGCTGTG